GGCTTAGGCAACGACATTGCTTAACCTGGTGAAGAAGCAGACCAATCTCTCAGCACAGCCAGACCACCGTTGACTATGGTGGTTTCCGATCAGGCTGCCTCTTGATGACCCCGCGATGTGCGACAACCGCAGAGAGGCTCGGCTTCAGCCGTACGCAAGAAACCCTACAAACTCGCCCCGAACGGAATTTCTGTAGGCTGGCACACTCTCGTATTCCATATCTGGACGACGTTGCAGCAATCGACGCTTGCCAGACCCTTAATCATCCCGCAATTGATCAGATACACTTTGACCTTTTTCCACTTCAACTCACGCATGGGGATACTCGACTCCCGACTCCATAGGGATCAACGAACATTTCCCTCTTATCAAGTTGCCTCGAAACATTCAAGAGCTACGGAATAGACCCTGGCGATTTCTACCCCGACTTTACCTCCAGCCCGCCCCCGAACACCGCGCCCTCCTACCACATCCGCTCTAGGCCCACATTGCCACTGGTGAACGCTGTTGCTGGGTTCCTCCACTGGCTTGCGGCGGTGCAGGGGAAAGCGACAAGTCACACATGCACGAAGCGCGAGGAGGATTGATAATGGAATCCGGGGATATCGAGGCGACGACGAGGTGCGATACCCATCTCAATCTGTGCCATGGCTGAGGTCCATGCAGCAGCATCTCCAGCCTCCTGTACGAGACCCCAACAACGGCATAGCATGTTGCTGGCCTGAGCACTGTGACATTCTACGGATACAGATGCGCAATGCAGGAGGTGGCAAGGGCCATGTTCCTCCACTAAATCTGCCCCATCGCGCCTCATATCACTTGTCACAAGCAGCATCCGACCAGATTCAAGTATGTCGACGGTCACAGTGTGCCGCTTTGCAGCACTGCGTGGTGCGTGGTGCTCTCTCGTCCAAGCTTCAACAAGATTCACGGCCTCAGTAACATATCGTTCGCCTTGTTTGACATGGCTTCTTGCCATTCGCCTGGTGCGCAAACCGGGAGACACCGCATGCGTCCGAGCCGATGTTGGCGCAAACCCAATGCCGGCTCCGGTATCCCGTCCCGTCCTGGCCCAAAGCAATACACTGCATGGCTACAGACTACAGATAGTATGCACTGCGGCAATATTGACAGCTCGTCTATCGCAGTCACCACCAACGTATAATTGAGGGCGACCATACATAAGACTCGACGCTGGTTAGTCTGTCAATGTTTCTCGCGAGAGCATGCACCTGACCTCCCTATCGTGCCCCTCTCCAGCAGCCTAAGGGGGCCTCATTATTGCGCGAACAACGCACCGTGCCGCTATGCCATTGGTAAGGCGATTCCCTATCTCGGGTAGAGGTACTCAAGGCACAGGGACCGACACAGCGGCCAACGACATCAGATGAGACCACGAAGGACCCAGACTGATTCGTGTTACGCTGGACAGGAGCATGGACGGGAAAACGGAAGGCAGAAAATGCAACCAAAGACAGAGAGGAAAAAGGGGACCGAGGAACTAATCACACCCACCCACCCCAGTGCCAGCCACTTTTGGCTGAGGACCCTGAGTCGGTGTGGATGGACCCTGATCGTCCAAAGCACCGGAAACACGCCAGTGGCAACAAGACCCAGGTCGTGCTACGGAATAGCCGTTCCGAATACGTTGAGACACCGAGGAAAAGGAAAAGGGTTGATTTAGTAACGGCTTTCGCATACCGTGGTAGCGTCGTACCGAACTTGACGCCAAAATCCGTCGCATTACCTTGGTATTCCTCAGATCATTAGAGGCATGTACTTGCACACCGACTCGCCGGCTTCGGGAACTTGCCGCTTTGGGTCAAGGTCTGGACCGAGTGCCCCTTGTCGGACGACATCCGTTGCCTCACCGACTTCACCGTTTCCTCCGATCCCGCAGTTCCATGCTCTTCTGGCGTTCCCACGTTCCCGCCTCCCATCATGCCATCCAAGCACGTCTTCTGCACGGGTGTTTCTGACCTGCGTCCGCCTCCCCATCATTTACTTGCTGAAATGGACTTTGTGCGATAGTTGTTCGCTACTATGTTTAAGCATGCCCCCACTTCCAATAATGGGGTCGCAGAGATCTGAACCGGAACATCCAGCTTATATTCACCTCCTTGGCCAAGTGGACTGGATTGTACTTCGCGCATCCGCGCAATAAGAACTCCATGTAGTACAGAGGAACTATGGTTACCAACTTTCATTGCCGCAACTGTCGCTGTCTTTTAGTAGGTACCTTGTGATGGAGTTCAGAGAATTAATTACCAGTCAACGCAGCCACTGCTGCAAATGCTTGGTAGCGAGACACCCAATATACTTGAAGCCGTCAAACCAGGTTAATCAAGCTCTTCAGTGAAGAGTTCCTCGATCTAGTTTGTTAAGAAGACTTGCCATGGTCACTTACCATTACCTGAAGCACTGTAGGCATATATAACCAATTACTACTAGACTTAACCCCTAATCAATCGAATCGTGAACCAATTCCAAAGTACCATTTTCACTGTCCTCAGGTTTATTCTCAAGTTTCTTGCCGTTATCGATGCCAGGCTTTGTCGGCGTTAAGCCGCTCATCAAGGTATAAGGCTGAGCGTTCCGCAAAAGTATGTTCCATACAGGTCCAAATTGGTGCGCCGGAGCCGGTTTTGCTGGCAATGCTCCGCATCGTTTTGAGAGCCAATTACTCATGCCATGGCATCTGCTGTAGTTCACACTTACCTGGAGGGTCGTCTACTTGTTATCGGGAAACTCGTGTCTTGTTCAACCGGCGCACAAAGGGCTTCGAGCGAAGGTTTCTATGGTCTATAGACTCGATGCAGCTACAGTCTTGGTTATTTGGTGACGCTAACTTTACATTCAAATTGCCTATCTCCGGCAGTCTGGTATCAAAGTTCAATCTCATGGCGGTTGATTCTGGTGCCTCATCTCATGGACCCCAGCTCTGAGGCCAGAGCCTGGCCATCTAGAAACGCCAAACTGCAAGACTCTGGTCTCTCAAACGCTCCAATTTTCTGTCCATGAACGAGCTCATCTCCCTCTATGGGCTGTCTATAAGAAGAGTTTATGATGCTCGAGGGGTGTGATTGTTCTAGTCATCGGAGATAGCTCTAATCGTAATTGTACGGCCACCAACTCCACGACCAGACAGCTGTCTTTTGACGGAACTCTGAAGTTAAAGGTATACATCTCGTAACGATCGGAGATGGGTCTGTGCTATCGTGATCGGAGATGGGTTCCGGAGATTTCATAACATCCCATCTCTCATCCTCTCTAGGAGTAGAAAGCACAGCCTCTCCCTCGATCCTGCAACCCATTCTCTCTTGCCAAAGACTTTTCAGTTTTGAGTACACAACCGCTTTACCACACTCAATTTCCCTGAATCGAACTCTTACACCCATACAATCTTACCCTTCTCTCTATCTATTGCACAATGTCAACCAACGGGGAAGCTGAGCGCAAACCCAGTCGTCCGGTCTGGCGACGTGCGGTTTTAGCACACATCAAACTTAGCACTCTCGAAAGACGAAAGCACCATATAGAGGAGCAGCAGAGATCTGTCACTCCTCTTCAGGTGGCTTACAACCAGCAAGATATCGTCCAGCCGGAACCAGTCCACCTTAATGGGAATCCTGGAGCTAGCTTCGTGGAAGACCTGGAGACCATAGCTAAAGAAATGGGTATTCTCCATCCGAACGCCTTGGATACAAACGACTTCTTAGCTGGCGAAGAAATCTATGATCCAGGTCCTATAATTCAGCCAGCCGTCCTTGGGTATACCAGTGTTCCCAAGGGAACATACGTTGTTTCGCCCTTGGCCAGCCTGTTGTTCGACTTGGACTACGAACACAACCAGGCGAGCAGGATACTGCACGAGAATTTTGTGCCCCAGGCCGACGTACCCCGCAGCTCAAACAGAGAGCTTGCTGAGAAAACAACTGAATCCTCCTCGCAATGGTTCAGTAGACTCGGTGACTGGTCGAGACAGGATGAGGACTCCTGCAAAGAGGCCTTGATTCCTCCCCATAATACGCCAGTTGAGTCTGGGGACGTCAGCCCCGTCAACACATCAGCTCGAGCTCCATCGTTGGACCGTGGTCCGAGTATCCGGCTTCAAAAAGCGCTTGCAGAAGACCAAGAGGCCTGGGAACCCCTCAAGAAGCCGATCAACGAGCTTGTCGCCACTAGCGAGCCGCTTCCCCCATCGGGTACCCAGAACGGCCTTCTTCAAGCGGCTGAACGAGCAGGCGTCTGGCGTAACGAGATGGGCGTGCCTTGTGCGGCAGAAGAGAAGGCAAATTTGGTACAGAAGAGGCACAAGGATGAGGTGGAGATGGCGCGGCGTCTTCGGGCAGGCCTCGAGATGAAGATTGAGAAGAGGCCCTGTTACCTGCTTTGGCTGGAAGAGAGGCACCAGCTCTCGACGGAGCGGATGTTGGCTTCAGCTACGACGCGACTTGCGGATTACCTGGAGGGGTACAAGGCGGTCAGTCTGAGGGAATTATGTCGGAGGCGCGGACTCCTTGGTGATTGCCATGGGCAGGTGTCAGTCTGAGACTCCCCAATACCTGAGGTCTGCAATTTCCAACAGCAGCAACATCAGTAATCGCAGTCACCAGTCCCCCCAACGGCGCCCGCCTCGCAAGCACGAAACTAAATTGAAGAGATTTAGCGGCTTCTTGGGCAAAGCTTCTGGGTAGCTTCAGACGGGCGGCTTGGGCGGCTCGAGCCAAGCGCAACCGCAATACAGAGGAGTAATGAGCATCATGGACGTATATGAGAGAAACGGACAGAAACGAAGTACATGTCGTTTAGACGGGCATATCGGCGATACTGAGCCGCCTGTATGAATTCGTGTGTATAGGTACCTTATATTGTCATGCCACGCAATGACCCATCCATAATACTTGACCTTTTATAGTGACTCTTGACATGCGTAAAGTCATCTGCAGTTCAAGAAATTCCCCACGCCATGGCGGATAAACTTAGTAGAATCGAAATGTCTACTGTTGCACATCACTCTCAGTTGTCATAGCTCCCTTCTTCAAGATAGGCTCGCCGGGCTCGACGGCACCGTAACTCGGCCCTTCACCCGTCCCCAATCCTCTCTCCTCTTCAGACACGAGCACAGCTCTCTCCTGATTCTTCTTATCGACACTCTTCCTCCAGGGTCGATACACCACTACCGAACCGAGCCCGACAACGACAAAGAGGCCGCAGATGCTGCCGCCAATGATGTCAAAGTGCTCTCCGATCGCGTCGACGCCATCCCAGAAACTACCTTCGGGCTCGGCGACGTTGGCGATGAGAGACAGTACCTGGATGATTCCGATAAAGGCCGAGACGAAGACTGTGATGCCTGTGAGGACGATGGAGTAGTAGAGGATGGCGACGCGGTCGCGCGAGAAGGCCTTTGAGGTGTAGAGGGCCATCATGAGGGCGCCGTCCGTTGTGTCAAGCATGCACATGCCGGCTATCACGAGTCAGTCAATGTACTTGAAATATGACATGCAAACTCGCCTGTGAAAAGAACGGGAAAGATGAGAATGAGCCAGATGCTCGTCCCCTGCGCACCATGCACACTCGACAACCCGAGAATAGCAATCTCGGAACTCGTATCAAAACCCAAACCAAATAGAATCCCCAAAGGAAACATCTTCCAAGGCCGGTCAACGACACGGAAAACCTTTCTAAACACATTCGCCAGGAACCCCTCGCCCTCCAACTTGAGATCTGTCGCCGCATCGCCCTCGTCCTCCTCGGTAGGCGTGTACCCCTCCAACCCGCGTCGTCTCTCCTCCTCCAGCACGGCCGTCAGCCTCCGGATGAGTTTATACAGCACCCACCCGTTCCCGGCACAAAGAAGCAGCAAGAATGCCGCGCTGACGCTCGTGCCGATGATATTCCCCACGCGCGTGAAGCCGTCGAAGCGGTCCCGCAGCGCGCCGCTCGTGGCAGCTACGACGACGCAGGTGACGATGACGATTGTGCTGTGGCCTAGAGAGAAGAAGGTTCCCACCGTCACGGGACGCTGGCCTGAGGCGATGAGGCGGCGGGTCATGAGGTCAATGGCGGAGATGTGGTCCGCGTCGAGGGCGTGGCGGAGGCCGAGGACGTAGGAGAGGGCTGCTGGGGAGATGAGGGAGGGGTGGAAGTGTAGGATGATGCCGGTAACGATCCATATTATGATGTTGATTGTGACGAGGAGAGTGATGATGCGGATGGTCGGCGCCGGGAGGACGCGGAGGGCTGGCGGGATGGGGAGGTTGGCGAAGGGGACGCGGAAGCGCGCCATCGTGGTGGTTTGTGAGGTCACGATAGTGACCGTGGTCTGTGTGGTCTTTGGCAGAGGTGGTTGTGGGATTTCTACAAAAGCCCTACGATCTAGGAAAATAAAAATGTGGAAAGTCGATGAGACGGATGTTTGTGAAGAGGTTGACGTTGAGACGGAGTGCCCAGCCGGCGGGAAACAGCTCGTGAACGGGCGGCCCTCCGGCTCCTCAGGTCCCCTCACGGCGGGGAAGCTCCCCCACCTTTTGTACCCTCACCACACATTGAACATCGATTTGAGCTACCTTCAAAAGGCAAGTTGTGAGGGAGTCAAAGATAGCGTGAAAATACTTGCTCACTGCGGCATTGAGATGGAGTGGCAGATTCGTCTCATGGCTGGGTCAGTGACCGGCAGGACCCCTCACGACCCCTCCATCTTTCAAGCGCTATCTTATCGGCCACGCGGGGCCCATTGAGAATGGGGCCGCTCCGAGCCGACGGCGGCCGCCGGCCTTTGGTTCCGAGTGAGGTACTGCTTAGGTGCTTGAGTGCTTACCTCAAGTCCGTAAGGCATCTTTCTACTATTTGTTGCCCTTTATACAGGGAGACATGAGGCCGTGAACTTGAGACTTGTGCAAGACACCTTAGCTGCAGCATAATGGTAAGGTCGAGTCACTGGCGGGATTCATGAAGATTCAGATGAGAAAACTGGAACCGCAAAAGCTTGGCTTCCAACATGTGGGTAAGCCAGTATATACGCAGTAGAGACTTACACCCACTGGTGAGTTTCGTGTTTGTTGCTGAATGCTTTTCGGTGACATTGCAAGCCTCACGCATGTTCGCAATACCAACAATCCCCCATTCATGACATGAGGATGAGGATGAGATGACAAATGAGATGTGGCGGGATATGTGAGCCCCAGGTCAGCGATTTCCAGCGCTCAGTCAGCCACCACCGCTAGCTTGGTAACCCGTGCGGGTACCTGTAGAAGCGAAACCTCACCTCAATTACACCCCTGTCTCTCATCCTCTCCCTCATCTCAAATATCTGGTTGGTACTCACTTCATCTCAACTTTTCGGATCGATCAGAGTATCAATTGTAAAAAGGCGAACAATCCATGATTCAATCTCATCCATTTTAATGATCATCATCCCACTACTGATACTAATCTCAAGCCTCTTCGCAACAACCCAAACCTGCCCAAACCACTCGTCCCTCCACGCCCTCACTCTCAAAATGCCCCAAACCTACAACAAAGCCTTCATCCCCCTCGAATCAAACCCTCAAGTCTTCAACGAACTCATCGCCGCCCTCGGCGCCTCACCTGACCTCCACTTCCAAGACGTCTTCGCCCTCGACGATCCGGCCTTCCTCCCACTCAAGATCCTCGCCCTCGTTCTCGTCTTCCCTACAACGCCAACCTATGAAGCGCGGCTGACGGCCGAGGACGCCGGCGCAAAGGACTGGATGGTGGAACACGACGAGGAGGACGAGGATGCGGTGTGGTTTAAGCAGACTATCAATAATGCCTGTGGTTTGTATGCTGTTTTGCATGCTTTGGCAAACGGCCGGGCCAAAGACTTTCTGAGTGAGTTGCCATGACTTTCCTCTCGACCCCTAACCAAAAGCCCCCAAAAAGACTGACAAGATTCAGCGCCGGGATCGTTGTTAGACAACCTCCTGTCCATCACAGCGCCCATGGACCCAGCCCAGGCCGCCATGGTGCTAGAAAGCTCAACAGAACTCGAGGATGCGTACGCTGCTATCGCGACAAAGGGCGACACGGCGGCACCGCAAAGCGCAGAGGACGAAGTCTACTTCCACTACATCTGCTTCGTCAAATCACCAGACACTGGCCACCTCTACGAGCTGGACGGAGATCGTAAAGGCCCGGTGGACAGAGGGATCCCAGACGAAGAGGAAAAGGTGGATCTCGGACCAAAATCTGTAGACATTGTCAGGAACTTCATTCAGCAAGGAGGAGACGATATTGGCTTCAGTCTCTTAGCCCTAACTGAAGGGGCATGAACAAGCACGTGCGTCTACGTGGAAAATCATTGTCGGGCATAGCCAGGTCCAACCAGCACGTTTTGGCCGAGGCATCACGGTGGGATTGTTATTCGGTCCTTTATTTTCTACGGCCGGGTCGTTCATGACGCCCCTTTAGCTCGCCTGGATAATCTTCTCCAATTCATCAGGGTCCTTGATGGTGGGCGTCAGGTTCTCACTGCCGTCCTTGGTGATGAGGATGTTGTCCTCAATTCTGCAAACAAATTAGCAAACCTATACAACTGAGAGCACCGGGATCAGGGCCTAACTCACCTCACACCACCAACATCCCAGTACTTGTCCAGGACGGCTTGGTCAATGAACTTGGAGTGAACGGGGTCCTTGAGGTACGGCTCAATGATGAAGCTGCAGAAGTAGATACCCGGCTCGACAGTCACGATGCTGCCGGCAGGGATCTGGCCTCTGACACGCAGGTACCGGAACATGGGGTCTGTATCGGCGTAGTTGGGGTTGCCACCGACGTCGTGGGTGTCCATGCCCAGGTAATGGCCGAGGCCGTGGGGGAAGAAAGCGACACTTGTCCTGCTCTTGAGGATCTCGTCCTTGTCTCCCTTGAGAATGCCGATAGCGTGGAGGCCATCGATGGCAATCTTGTGCGCCAGCAGATGAATGTCATCCCAGACGACGCCCTCCTTCAATGCAGCAGTTGTCTCGAGCTGCATCTTCAATACGGTGTCGTAGATTTGACGGGACTCCTTACTGAACTTGCCGGAAATGGGGAATGTGCGGGTCTAGTCAATATTAGTTGCGCGTTTATAGAGGCACTGTGATGCTAGACACTTTACTCACAATGTCAGATGCGTAGCAGTTCCATTCCGTGCCAGCATCAAGAAGAAGGTTCAGCTTTCCTTCCAGAGGCGCATCGTTGGCGACATAGTGCAGAGTGGCAGCTGCGCGACCTCCAGCAAAGATGCCGTGGTAAGCCTGGTTTTTGGCACCATTCGCGACGCTGTGCTGCAGGAACAAGGCCTCCAGTTCCCTCTCGTTCTTGGCATTCTTGACAGCCTTGACGACGGCATGGTGACCAATTGTCGAGACATGGTTGGCCTTTCTGGTGAGGGCAACCTCGTAGTCGTCCTTGACCACACGGCAGCGCTCAATGGCATCTTTGAGAACGCTAAAGTTCTTGTCGTCGAACTCGAGGAAAGTGATGTTGTCGAGAACCTGGTCTTGGATGGCAAAGACGGTGTTTTTGGAGCCCTTGCCCAGCCGTGCAAGCTCGGCATTAACGTCTGTGGTGTACTTCACATCGTCGATATCGTAGAGTTCCTTGGCCTCGGCGGCGCTGACGGGCAGACCAGACCAGATGACGCTATCGGGATCGATAGGGGGGATGAAGAGAGTCGACTTGTTTGTCGCAAGATCGAAAACGTAGTGGCAGTCGGCGAGAGGGCAGCCGGTCAGGTAGTAGAAGTAGCGGCGCTGTCTTTGCGATGGGTGTCAGGCATAATTGAACAGATAAGGTAGGTAGCGATGGGCCAAAGGTTAAGATAGACGCTAGAGACGATACCTGAAGGGCTCGGGCTCGTCATTGTCCTCGAGCATCTTGGTCATGCGACCCTCGACATAGAGAACACCAGAGGCGTTTGGGACCTTGGACTTGACATAGTCGGCGACGCGGAGGGCATGCTTCTTGGCGGGGTACTTGCCCTTGAGCACCGTCTCATAGTCTTGAGCCATGGTGGCGGTGGGTGTGGCGGAGAAGAGCCGCCTTGGTGAGGTCTGGAAGGGAGCTGCTTTGCGATGCGACGGGGAAGCTTGCGGCGATCTGCCAAGGCGTCTGGGTGCTGCGGCGGTTGATAGCTGTTGGAATCGGAGTTGACCGATGAGGCTCCTTGCTGCTTGTAGTGGTGGTGGTGATGGTGGTAGTGTTGGTGGTACAAACTTGGATCGGAGAGCAAGAATGTTGCGTGCTGACCGAGTAGATGTTCTGGTCAACATGAAGTGAGTCCGGCCGGCCGTCACACCCGACGATTCTGCCTTTGTGGAGGGGTCAGGAACTCTGGAATTCAGACGAAGGAGGGGCACTGAGCAGTCAGCAGCACTGTAAGCCGAGTTTAGGCGCAAAAGTACCTCAATATGATATGAGGTGAGGTGCTGAGAAGCGGGACAACGATAGCTGTAAGGCACCTTAGTGACGAATCAGAGCTCTCGGACGCGTCGGATGAGGAAGCTGGTTTGCGCCAACGGGCCCTGAATGGGGTCGAATTTCTTGAAAGCTCGACGCCTTTCCCACCACGGCGGACGAGAGCAACAGTGCAATCTCGAGACTTGCGTTACGTACTCACACGGTGCTCGGATGGCTCCACTTCCCTCGGCACATTATGTAAGGTAAGCCGATCTTGCCCGACACTGGCAGAAACCTGAGACCTCTTTCTGGCAGCTGGCACAAAGAGTACGGACTTGAGTACGTACATGGGTAAGGTTAACGCTTAGTAACCCTACCTCAAGCCAACGAAGCTCGGGAGAAGAAGGCGCGAGACGGTCGGTACCTTAGGTTCACGATATAACCGCAATACCTCAGGCCGTTTGTTCCATTTGTTTCCCCAACTCCAATGCAAACTTCTGACGTACAACAACTTCGAGCTTCTCCAAGACTCCAACCCGCCCTCCACCTGTTCACATATCATGTTCATGGATGTCTAGTGCCCGCATCCACAACCCGTTCGCGATTGTCCTCATTAATCCCTTTTTGGCTTCCCTCGTGGCACTGGAATCTGAACCCCTTCACTGGAACCCCTTCGCCGAGGCGGCTCAACCAAAAAGCAACGACGATACAGCTTGCCCCTCCAAACTTTTATGCACATGGACCGCCATTGACGTTTCATGGGTCATGCGACGCTGAATGCTCAAGGATCTAGATATAAACACCCCAAGCAACGCTTGCACCGGGTTGTCTTGTCTAGGTCGAATGATTCTTACAAACATCGAATCCCTTCAGATGGCATTCAGTTTTCGACCAAGAACTCGGGCTGGCCGACCCCTCCCCTGCTGACCACGACCATCAGTCTGCTTTGCACATGAAGGAGCCGTCACTGTACTGTTTCAACTGCGGCCTGCATCCTCTTCGCAGCTAGACCAATCAAGACCAACTGCAGTAAACCAGTACTGGCTTCCATCACCACACCAAGGATCGCCTCCCCTGGACCTCATAACCTCGTTTCTCCAAACTTCCAGTTCTCCCCCCTCGGCCGGGGTGACTGCGTGACGTACAGAGTACATACAACAAAGGACTGTCTATCTAGCGTCTCTTTTTCTTTTGCTCCAGCGAAAGGGTTGCGTCGCTTCAGGCGAGTAAATCCTCCCGAAGCCACCCCCCGCCAACCTGCACAACCAAGAGACTCAGATATCCGGCTAGCCAAACAGGGCAGAGACCGGCACGGCGAAGCAACGACATTTGTCAATTTCCAGAACCAACACCTATCTAGCTGCTGTTGTTATTGCACTGCCCCCTTCATCAAGAATAACAGGCCAAGACTTGCCATTTCACCGCAATAACATTCGCGACATCAGCCATCAGATGATGCCCAAAAAGCCCACAAGAGCTACGCCTAAAGTTTCGTTCCACATTAGCTGGCCTGGTCGTGATGAAGGCCGCGGAAAGTGTCCGACAATCCATCGCCTTCGTAGCCTGCCTCCACTGTCTTGGCCAATACAGAGGGGCATCGATGGATGCCATCCCGCAGAGAACGAGCATCCACCTGGATGGGCTCAGTCCAACATCCCAACATGCGACTGATTACTGATTTGCTCAGAGCCTCACACGACGTTACAGCAACTCCACCACAGGTCCTTTCTGCTTCTCCAACGTCAGTGCTTTCTTCCCCGATCTTGGCCGTCAACCCACAAAATCCCCAGGGGGAATTACTGGACCTGTGTTTGTCCACTGGTAATTGAACAATGGGCCAAGAAACCCCCCAGTCGAGCCACTAAATAATCAACCCGAGTCAAGTCTGAACGTCCGTCTTAGTCACTGGATCCTGGCATACCCAGGTCCTGCCACCGACCTTTCAGATACCACCCCGGAACTATTGTCCCAGCAGTACAGATACCGTTCGCGCCCAAGATGTTGCGAGGCTCGGGAGATAGAAGAGACATGAATATGTGACAGCAAATCGAGCATAAATTGTTTGGCGTAAAGGACGCGAAGCCGACGAACGAGTGGTTATTGCGTACACCGTCAACGAGCAGCAGACCCTTGCAAAATTCGAATGTCACGGAGCAACCTGGCGCCTGGGTTGGTTACTCCGTAAACCTACAGATAAGAGGTGGCATTCTGTGACCCGTCACCCAGGAAGTCTCGTCTTCTGGGGACCCTATCTGAACCCACCGGCTTGCCCAGCCTCTGTCGTCAAAATCTTCTGGCATGCCACGAGCCCAAGGCGCAGAGCACACGACCTGCTTCAGATCCATCCGGCCATATGAAGAACCGAGAATTCGCTGCGAAGCAAAAATGGCTCTGGTGCTGATCTGCTTTCCCGAAACATGCAGAGGTACCTAGCCATCACGGAGGCAAAGACAGACAAGCGCCTTGGTACGTCCGTAATACGCGAACAATCCCAATGAGGTTGGTAGGTGGCGGGCTGTGGGCAAGCAGCTAGATACATCTGAATACGGGCATTATTCGTCAGTATTCGAAGCGTCTCGTTCTACCCTCGAACATCTCGGGCCAAACCCCGACGCCCAGGGTTGGACGCTGCCGTATGCCGGCCAACATTCTTGGGTTCATGGATGGCGCCTACGAACCGAATCAGGCATTCCGATCCCGTAGGGCTCGAGGTCCATCACTCAAGTACGGCCTACCATGCTCGGCTTTTATTCGTTCGCGGAGCCAGCAATCTTCCATAGTACGCCAGTTCAGTCAACCGTCTGATACAGTCTCGAAATTAGCGCTTCCATGGCCCACCTCCTATGGCCCCGTTCCGAATTCAAAATTGCTTCCGTCCAATACGATACGTGACCGAAGAGGGTATCGAATCCTTGACATCTCCATTGTACGGTCTTTTAATCTTCCAACACTCTACCCCGCAAGGAACCCCGACCGCCACGCCCGTCCCCCGGCTACCCTCCGCTCCCGTTATTTTTGCTCGCCCGCACGTCTGCAGCTTATTTAGGCGTCTTGGGGCTCGGCAGTCCGCCTGGTGTCGGTCCGATAAGGCCATTTCTCTTTACGGTTCTCTCAAATGAGAGGGAGGCGGTCTCGAAGCCTGGTCAGCAGCCCAATCACGACTTTCAATCGACGTGGGTCTGTTCTCACACTGCTTGCAAGCTGCCCTCCCTCTTTTCTCCCGACATGACGTAGGACAAGCCTTGCTGGGAAAAATCCCACGGCAGCCAGGATACGGGGGTACGATGCCGGACATGGATCAGAGGCAGCCCGCCTCTTTGCGCGAAAAAGGCTGGTTTTGCCTTCTTCAATATGACAGTACAGTCTCGATGTCGCTTACCGCTCAAATCAACATTGCGCTGCGCAGCTCAAACTTAGCTTAGAGCAAATGCGCGTAGCCCCAATCCCAAGACATGTCAAGATGCTCCAAGCTCACTCAAGCCTTTCGGCCTGTCCCCTATATCTTTCTCGGCGATGGACTATGTGGATAATAAGCAACGCGAAGCCTCGACGATCGAGCTTGAAGTCTTTTGTCCTTACCTCCTGTCTCTGCTTCCCCGCGCTTGGCCGGCTGGGATGATTGCGTGGCGCTCCATGGCGGCCAAAAAGTCAATGAATGCGCCAAGCGCTTGGCTCTCACGATCACTTCTCAGTATTGCGGGACGCGTGTGACTGGATGAACGACTCAGATGCCTCAAATCTTTCTGCACGTTACATTGCGAGGCACTAATACGCGACACCGACAAGGGACCTGCGCATGTGTCACCTGGACAGTAACTATTCCCTTCCTACGTCTCCCTTGGATGTGTTATCCCGGAGAGAGCCCACTTGTACTCCGTACAAACCCGTCAATTCGTCGGCGCTCTCACCCCTGGTGGAAAACAAACCACCGCCGGCGCAAGCTGTAGGCAGAGCAAAAAGCAACATCTACGGATACAAACCGCCAAGCTCTACCACGACAGGGTTTTAGCACCAGAGAGCCCATGCCCAGACCAACAATGCGAGTCCAAAGGCTAGACTCGAGCGGATTCTCCCTCCTCGCGTGGGGCAAGGCAGTATAGGAACTTGATTACCTTGCCGAGCTCGACCAGTCCCTTCACGTTCCTGTAGAACCAAAACTCCAGAGAACTGAAGTTTATGGGGTGTGTGCGGAGACGCCAAGGAGACAACTGCTCGAGTTTCTGGTACAGGATCATCGGCTGTTTTCGTCTGGTACCATGGGGTCGGTCTTGCCTCTCACGCCTCTATAAAGATCCACAGCTGCCCATGCGACGGTGCCATGTTGTCCATTCACTCTGGCTTGTCCTGTACGCGCGCCGAGCTTCCATTAATTTGTGAAGCCATCTCAGACGTTGTCACACGTCAGAAGCTCATTGTGTCGAAAACAGTCAACAGATCCAATCAATAGTCAAAACCAGATACGATACAGTATACTCGCCCATCGCCAGTATGGCTGATAAGATTCACCCAGAGGGGTAAGCTCTTCTCGCCAGTATTCCAGCCTTCCGAACTTTCTACTAACACAGATAACTCTCTAGCGAAAAGGTCGCCGATGTCTCTGGACATCATGAAGAGCGTGGCACTCACCAGCCCGACCCAGTTGAGCTCAGCCGCAACATCGAAGCAAAGTAAGTTGTCTTACACTTGTACGCGCCGAACCAAACCATGCCTGACCATGCATGCAGGATCAAGAATCCTCTCGAGGGAATCCCATACAACCAGCTCATGCGCGATGTCGACGCCTTTTGCACTGAGCACGGACTACAGGAGGAGGTTGCCGTGTTCCGCAAGGGCGCACTGGTAGCTCAAGATCCAGAAGGCTATGAGACTCTCACCGGCAGTGAAGCTCTCGACGAGGCTGAAATTACAGCTTTGCGAGAGGAAGTCACCCACAAGTGGCGTTTGCCCAAGAAGCTCTACTTGACCATCATCACTTGCTCAATCGGCGCTGCCGTTCAAGGATGGGATCAGACTGGCACCAACGGCGCCAACATTTTCTTCCCCGAGGAATACGGCATTGCAACCAGCAGCACCAGAGACCGTCTCATCCTCGGCCTAGTCAACGCTGGCCCTTACATTGGTAGCGCTCTCTGCGGTTGCTGGCTGTCTGACCCTCTCAACCACTACTTTGGCCGTCGCGGTGTCATCTTCTTCTCGGCTCACTTCTGTATCTGGCCTCTCATCGGTTCCGCTTTCAGCCACAACTGGCAACAACAACTCGCTAACCGTCTTCTCATGGGAATTGGTATGGGCGCGAAGGCCTCGACCGTACCCATCTACGCTGCCGAAAACTCTCCGCCATCGATTCGTGGCGCCCTGGTCATGTCATGGCAAATGTGGACGGCGTTCGGCATTGCACTGGGAACTGCCTTCAACCTGGCAGTCTACTACGCCAAGTACAACTGGCGTCTGATGCTCGGTATGCATACTTACATCACTTAAAGACTTCACATGAAAGCCAGGATCACTAATTCGTTCGACTCGCAGGCGCTCCTTTCCTCCCCGCCGTTCCCTTGCTCTGCTTAATCTACCTCTGCCCTGAATCTCCCCGTTGGCTCATGAAGAAGGGTCGTTACCGCGATGCTTGGAAGTCCATGATCCAGCTCCGACATAACAACATCCAATGCGCTCGTGATATGTACGCTATTCACGCCCAGCTGCAGCTTGAGAGTCAAGTCCTGGGCAAAAGCAACTATGCTAGCCGCTTTATGGAACTCTTCACCATTCCTCGCGTGCGCCGCGCCAACTTGGCTGCTTTCACCGTCATGATTGCCCAGCAGATGTGTGGTATGTGAAAATAACGTGTCGTACACCCCTCCGTGGACGGAGCAGTATCTGACAATATTGTGCAATGCAGGTATCAATATCATTGCCTTCTACTCGACAACTATTTTCAAGGATGCCAACATGGGCGATTTCCAGGCTCTGCTCGGTTCATTCGGTTTCGGAATGGTCAATTGGCTCTTTGCCTTCCCTGCATTCTGGACCATTGACACCTTTGGCCGAAGATCCCTGCTTCTGTTCACCTTCCCTCAGATGACTTGGACTTTGTTGGCCGCTGGTCTTTGCACGTTGATTGCGCCCGGTGTAACTCGCACTGCTCTGGTATCTCTCTTCGTCTACCTTTTCGGCGCCTTCTACTCGCCTGGTGAGGGTCCTGTACCCTTTACCTACTCTGCCGAGGTCTACCCCCTCTCTCATCGTGAGATGGGTATGGGTTTCGCCGTGGCCACTTGCCTGTTCTGGGCCGCCATTTTGGGAATGACTTTCCCGTTCATTCTCGACAGACTCCACGTTGTTGGTGCCTTTGGTCTCTACGCTGGTTTCAACGTCGTTGCCTTCGTTATGATCCTGTTCTGGGTCCCCGAGACCAAGCAACGTACGCTGGAAGAGCTCGACTGGGTCTTTGCTCTGCCCACCGCCCGCTTTGCGCACTACCAGGTCACCAAGGCGATTCCCTACTTCTTCAAGCGCTGGGTCTTCTTCGACCGCAATGCTAAGCTGGAGCCTCTCTACACCTTCCAGCAACACCAGCGTGAGCAGCGCGCGGAGCGTGTCCCCAGCTCCGATGAAGAGAAAAAGAGCTACTAGGCTTGCCTTTTGCGGAGACTAGGCTATGCACACTAAGCGAAGCCTCGTCACACAACAATAATTGCTAGTGAAGGAAAGTTGGTTGGTTTGAGATATACCCAGACGGCGGATGAGAAAATGAACTTCACTTTCTTGCATGTCGATGATATTCGACGGCATAATTCCGGGTGGCACGGCCTACTTTGAGTTTTGAATTGATACCAACTTGAATATATTGCCATCTTTCGAGCCTACAGCTATCCCCTAACAGTTCCCACTGCCTATCCCGATGTGTTTATTATTTGCATTAGATGTGTCCATCATAGCTTCAATCCCTCTCGGCGGCGCAGGTGTGTAGTGCCTGTCATCACCAGGATAAGCCGTGTCCGCGCCTCTGGCTCTCCCCACGTACAGAGCTCTTCCACAACATTGTGTACCCGTACAAAAATCCGAAAACGATGGATCGAAAAATGCCAAGACACGGCGCTTGCAATTGCCGGTTTTCTCTTTGCGTTATATAATATATCCCCGCTGCCGCATGGCCCGATGCCCCAGGTACCGTTTTAGAGTCGTTGGGACGATATAAACTTTGACGTGGGTTCTTATTCCCGCCTTGGACTACTTCGTCTCTAAGCTCCCGATCTTGGCATTTGCGTCTTGGTGTGGAGTCAAATTGAGAGGGTCTGAAGGGGAACATGGAGTCGGTACCGAGTATTCTGCGGCATATTGAGATGGCCGATTGCTTCGGCTGCCATGACTCGGTCCTATGTCCAGGGAGAATGAGTTACCGGTATGTTGGGTCGATACTGTCTTCGGCTGGGATAAGACGAGTATCGAGTAATGATGAATGGAGCATGTATATGATGCATTATCACGACCCAGAAGAGTTGGGATGGATGCCAGACACCGTCAGATGACCTATCTCAAAATCCGACAATGACACTACCGCCCCCATCGCTCCAAAATCTCCCTCTTCCTCTCGCTCCTCAACCTCGCCTTGCCAGCATCAACCTTTTCAACCCTCTCCTTCAACTTCTCAACCTCCTGTCCCAAAACGGCGATAGACGCCTCAATCCCCTCATCCACAAGCCTCACATGCCCAAACGGACTCTCGGCCAGCAGACTATCCCGCAACAACTGGATCGCGAGCTTCGAATCCGCAAGCTGCGTCGCGGCGGTACCCTCCAGCGTCTCCTGTGCATTCCTTGCCACATCGCGGGCTTTCGTCTGCCGCTCGGCCAAGGTAGCGGCTAACACGGCCGTTTGGCCCGCGCCGTCGGTCACGTCTTCGGGGAAGGCGATGGCGAGGGAGCGAAGGAGGGTTTCGAGGGGTGGTTCGTCAAAGGCCGAGGAGCGGCGGCGACGGTTGCTGGCGGCGTCGCGGGTGGGTGATCTTCCGGGGTTTGTGTTGTTGCGGCGGCGGACGGGGGAGACGAGGTCCTGCATCGGCGTCTTCTTCTTTGGCGTCGCGGCTGGAGTGGAGAGTTCTGCGCGGGCCGTGGTGAGGAGGCTTGATGTTGCTGTTTTGTGGGATTGGTAGGCTTCTATGCGGGTGGAGAGACGGTCCATGTGGTCGAGGAGGTAATCTAGGCACTCGTCGATCTGGGCGTGTCAGTACATGCAATGTTGGTCATGGGGTTGGGTTGAAACTTACGTAGATGACTGCAGCGGCGGAGCGGCGCAGAGACTGTCCGTTCTTGCTCGATAGCGACTTCAGAGCCGGCTCGAGGTGTTGCTGCTCCACCGACATCTGAGCTACGGGAAGGATCTCTGCGTAGAGAGACTCTAGTTCCTCCTGGGAGGTTTTGACGTCGTCTGAAGGGTGTGATGTCACGCCGTTCTGATGGGCGGAGCTAAGTGCTTCGAGGTAGAGTCTATCCAGCTTTGTGCGTACCGTTTCGACGGTGTATTTGATCAATCTACGCCAGGCGTGTAAGTCATGGTGTCTTTGGGAACTGTGGGTGAGGCGAGCGCATACCTCATGCAGATTTCGCGAAGCTTTTCTACGTTTTCACGGTCTTCGGGATCCTCAGTCTCGAGTTCAAGCCCCAGCTTGCGAAGACTCGAAAGAAGCTTGTCATCGGAGTGAAGCAAGCTATCTAAAGTCTGCTGGAGGCCGTTGCCAGAAACCTTGGTTTGCTGTTCGAGGTCCGACGCCTTGTACTCTAGACTCTGAGACAGCTCCTCGACCTTTGAGTCTCATGTCAGCAAAGTGACTTCCGGTAACGGGAGCAACACAACTCACCGTGGTCATCATCTTCCTAGCCTCAGCATCATGCTTCTGGTTTCGTTGGAAGACGAGATCGGAGCGAGCCTCCTCGACCCTGGAATGGGTCTTGACCAGCTTCGACAGGGCATCCTGCTGCTGCTTCAAGGTCTCGGTCTGCTTGACAATGGCAGCAGTCGACCGGTTGAGCTCCTCAATGGCAGTCTGTATCTCGCGTTCGCTTACAGCTTGAACAGCAGCTAAATCCTGCGACTCAACCAACTTGTCGATCTGACCGGATCTGTCCAGGGCTGTATACCTACCGACCCCATGTTGATTAGCCATAGGCACGTAACTGAGCGCGTGATACTCGTGATAGCACTTACAAGGCTAGTTCATCTCTGGACAGCAGATTCTCGGGGCCAAGGTGAAGGCGGGCCCATTCGGTAAAGGCAGTTCCGTGCTCTGGGTCATCGAGGGCCGCCTGAAGGGTGTGTCTGTCAATGGCGATACCGTAGCTTCGTACAATGTTTTCCAGCTTTGAGACATCCATAGCGGCGAGCAGACACCTTAATTGGAAGGTGGCTAGTCCTGAAGGATTTCTTTGAGGTTGTAAGGGTGGTTGAACAGAGGGGGCCAGAAATGGTATGCCCCTCTTTCCGTAGGACTTGGTGTTCAACAACCAACGACTTATGAATTAAGGTGCTGCTGCACGTGGACAGAGTTCCAAATCAACCAAAGACGGGACAAGCCTTGGGGTCTGACTGATGATGCCTGTCGCCCCCGAACTTGACGCGGATTCGAAGAATGGAGAGGAACCAAGGTGTGGCCACGATGGAAAGGTGTGAAGAAACGGGGTCGGAAGTTCGTTTCCTAAAAGGGAACGGCTGTAGCAAGCACACACGGAATGCGGTTGTCCAATGACGGAAGACGGCTGAGGTTTGTGGTTTGGTCCACAGATGGCATGGTAACAGAGGCCAGCGGAGGGGAGACAAAAACGTCTAAAGGTTCCGGGGTATTTTGGCTTCCGTTGGGTGTAGCCAAGTCACGACGTCTTGACGCAGCACACACGGCCGTTGTTGGTGCAAGCGGGCGGTAAAGTCGGAGAGGTTGTGTTGGTATTGTACACAAGAGTGTAGATAGTGAAGCCGTGTCGTCTCGGCTCGGGCTGCTATTTTCCTTTTTCCCTTCAGGCTTGGACTCGATTAAAGGGGATGATCCGTTCGTCTGTTCGTATACTATGATATGGGAGCCGAGAGCAAATGAAGGACAACTCAAACCGAACAGGTGAGATGAATTGATCAAGGCCAAGAGGAGAACATAAGTGAGAGGTTCATCAAAGTGACGAATGAGTTGAGTGAGTGAGTGAGTGTCCAATGCAATGAATGAGGTGAGGTGAGGTGCAAACAGAAACAAAAGGAAGCCCACCGAGAGAGAAGGTCGACTAGTCCAAAACCAGATAGACCCCCACCAAAAGGTCAAGCTGACCAACCATATACCGCAGACGAGCAGCCTCCCGTCTGCACGGGTCCTAGAGCGGTCCGTCGACGCCTGCAGCGGCCCCATCCAATATCATGCTGAGTACGTACCTTGCAGCATCGGTGATACGGCCGATAGACTTACACGACGTCCCCTTCCCACCACTTCCCTTCAATAACCAACGACCAACAACAAGCTGCCCTGTTCAGCGATCCGTCACTCAATCAAAAGAAGTGTGGGTGCTAGACTGGAGACACGCATCTTGCGGAACAACGACCACGACCATAGTCCCGGCAGCTTTCCGTCACAGCTCTGTTCAGACATCCCCAAATGGTTCCGGGAGTGTCAAGGAAGACCGGCTTGATCTGTGTCATCTTCAACCTACCCAGTAAGCGACGTCTGTTTTCTGCAAGAAACCATACATCTTTACAGAGAGTCGTATTGACGTAGGCACACAATCAGCATCTTCAAAGCAGGTCTGACCTATTCTGGATATCGTTTGCAGCACACGCCGCTTTGCCGTCAGTCCGCCCCTCCCCGCCTGGAAGGGTGCAGCTTGCATCTCTCAGGACAGACATCAACAAGGACGGGAGATGTCTTGAGCGTCCCGTTGCATCTTGTCACTTTTGGCATCTGCCACACACACATGCTGTCACTTTTGGCATGAGGGCTATTACCCATCGGATGAGCAGCGAGCCGACCATCGGGCTGCCAGATATGGGCTTCCAGACTTCCGGCACGGTCCGGACGGAGGGGTCATTGGAGGGTCTTCTTCGAAGATATGCAATTAACCCTGCTACGATATCTCGGAAAGCCAATTCAAACAGGCCTGATCGCTTTCCGGTGAAGCCCTGCCGCAAAATGTGATGCATCGACTCAGCATCTCTATCACCAACAGAACGAGATCGATGGACCAACCGCATATCTTGGCCACTCGTACCTCGGACTCTTGGATCCGTTCCACACTAGCAACAAAAACATCTTTGGGATGATTCTGCTTTCTCCCATTTGTTCAGAGTTGCTGGACTTGCCACTAGGACCTGTCGACAAGGACGCTCCCGGGCCTATCGTGCGTTCATCCAGCGTTTGTGAAGCCATCCACAACCATGGAATACCGGGTGGGCCCCGCACACTTCACCTTCCGCCGGACCCCATCCGCCTTCATGTTCACCTTCAACTTCACCTTCTGACTTCTCCTCTTGGACCCCACTCGCTCTTCATTCACTAGAATGGGAATGGGGGCCGACTTCGTATTCTAGTACCCGTTCCGTGGCGAACCCAAAGACTGTCTTTCGTCGAGCTTCCCATACTGTTTTCTTCCCTTCTTCGTGGATATATACCGCTCGTGTACGACACTGGATGACGGGAACTGGGAAGCAAGAGCCTCTTTGTGCTTCCCTGTATCTTTACCAACTGCGGCCTTGTTTTCCACCTCGATTTACTTGTGGATCTGATTGCATTTGCTACTTGGGACTTCACCCTAGGGTAAAGTCAGAATCAAATCACTCTTGGACATATTGTCACACAACACCCTCCTGTTCACCCTGAGACCCGTCTCGTCTCGTCCTCCCCCCTCTACCACGACATGTTTACAAGAACCTCTGCTCGCTTCGAGCTTCTCTCCCAGATCCTCCAATGTCTCAGACTCAAAGTCAGACATTTGACAGACAATGTTCCCAGAGTCCGTTTGCCATTGCGAATGTTCAGGAGAGATACCGAAGAAAACAGCACCGACAGATGGGAACATTGCACCCGCCTCATACGCCAGCGGATGCGTGATATCTTCTGGGTCGGGGTGATTTACCTCGCTAGCGAATTGCTCATATGGAGTCTCTTCCTGGGTCTGTACGAAGTCCGACTTGACTACCTGTCACCCATCATTGGCATGGTTGTGGTGTTCTGTTTCATGTTCGCGATTTCATACCTTTGTCCGGAGTCAGAAAGCTTCTACCACCGCCACATCAAGTACAAGGTTTGTCCTTCACCTTTGTTCTCACCTCACCACTGTTCGCAAGTACTGACCTGGCCAGGTCGACTTCATCAATAGCAACTTGGGCATTGGCTTTCCGGTGCCCATCGTCATGATTACTAAGGATAGACTGCTTGGCGGTAAGGGCATTGGGAGGGTAATTGGAAACTTTGGTGAGTTCACCTTGACACTAAAAGTAATCTTTAACATTTCAAGACTGACAGACAAAGTGAACACAAACGTCGTCTTTTGGGTATTGATCTTCCTCCTTTCTTGGGGCATCCTTGCCGGGATACTCAGAATTCCAGCCTTTTCCCTTCGCGAATCTGAAAAGAGAAGCGACGATGACACCGAAGTCGACCAACCATGGCAGTCCGGCGGGCAAGACACTCCCATACCACGCATCCAGATGCCTCCTCCAACCCTCAGCCGCAGGCCCTCCGAGTCAACGACCCTGCACGGAACCACGATCAACGGATACCATACCGATAAGGAAGCGGGACTGGGTCCAGATTCGAGGACCGTCTCGGCTTACTTCACCGATAGTGACTGTCCGACCCCTGTCCCACCTCCGAGCTCACTGGGCCACTATCAAGATCGGACATCGCTTTCCAGCTCGCAGCAGCCCCAAGTCTCGAGCGGAGAGGGTACCCAAAGGTTTAGCTGGTTCAAGGAGTGCTACCCAATCGTTCTATCAATCTTGCTCCTACTCACCGTAGGCATCCCTGTCTCGTATGCCCTAGGCGATGACCGCATCCTCGATGGGTGCATGCTGTGGTTCACCTGGATCAGCAGCACAAGACTGCAGCGCAATTTTGGACGCAGCGACATCCTCTCCAGCGTACAAGGGCTCAAGATGACTATCACGACACTGCTTAACCCGGTCCTCCTGATGACCCTCGGCATGATAGCCTACACTCGTGCCAAAGCCGCTGCCACGGACACGCCCATTAATCAAACGATGTCCCAATTCTCGCGCGGTAGGACTCTCTCCCTCATCTGGACCTCAAAGGTATCGGGATCTTACCTCACGAGCGACTGGTTCGGTGCCGGCGACGCGGCCATCTCGATCCTCGAGGTCGGCTTCGTTGTCTGGGGGTTCAAGCTTTACGAGTGTCGGAAGCAAATCTGGTCTCGCGCCGGCGCAGCCGTGGTTGTTCTTTCGACTGTCTTTGCGGCACTCAACGTCTTTGTGTCCGTCCTGCTCGGCAGAGCGGTTGATCTCGGGCCTCGTGAGGCGCTCTCCTTTGCAGCGCGCTGCACAACGCTGGCACTGGCGCGACCTGCGATAGAGGCGGTCTATGGGAACGATGTCGTCACCGCGGCACTGGTGGTGAGCAACGGCATATTGGGACAGCTGATGTACCCGGCCATGCTGAGGAAGCTGGGATTTGACTCAGCTAGAGAGTCGCACATTGACGTGGACGAAGAAGAAGATGAGAGACCGAGAGACGATGCGCTTACCATTGGGGTAGGGACGGCGATTGGCATCAACGGCGCGGCCATGGGCGTCTCATATCTCTATGAGAGGAAGAGCCGGGCTGCGCCTTATGCTGCTCTCTCGATGACCGTGTTTGGCATCTTTACTGTCGTCTTCAGTGCGGTCGAACCGTTTACGACTACCTTGATGAAGCTTGCTGGCATGGGACCGGACAGAGTCCCATATGGTGAGGTATCTTGAGGTCCCTGGAGGTAGTTTGGCGCATGAAATCGGTGACCTGGAGCATGAAAGGCGGCGCTCTGGTTGATGTACGCAGCATAGCATAGCATGATTGTTCCATAGAAAAAGGGGCGGAGGGAGGCAAATTGTACTTGTGAGCTCGTGGGCTCTCTTCAGAAGCGCATTTGGTATTTTTTGATATACAGTTATGCCAGTGGCAAGCGCGTGATAGAAAACAATTTTGCAAAACAAATGTCATAAACGTCTGGCTGGCTCAGCTGGGCCAGCCGTGTCATGTCCACCGGCACTGAGCACTGGTTGACCTTTTTTTTTTTCCCTCCTTCTGTGAACCCCCTGCCTGCTTACGCGCGCATGATGCTGTTCGTCTCTACTCTGTCTCATTTACTCCAGTCTGTGATCCGGGTGGTTAGTGGAACTGTAAGTGGAATAGGGGGTTGCCAAAAGCAACAAAACTCGAATCACTCACCTCTCAATCAAGTGCAGGCCGCTCGCCGTCTCCACGACGCCGCTGATGTCACCGGGGTTAAGACCAAAGGCAGCTTCTTCAAACTCCCGTTGCATGTCACCCTTGCCGAAGTAGCCCAAGTCACCCCTCTTACGGGCACTGCTGCAGTCGGACTCGGTCAGGGCCAGCTCGCCGAGCGTGGTGGAACCGGACTTGATCTTGGCCTCGTGAGCCTTGATGATCTCGAGTGCGTCCTCCTTGGTGCGGGAAATTTCGGCCTATTTTGACAGGCGTTGTTAGCTGTCTGTACTCGGAAAATTGAAAACGTTTCGGTAGGTGGTTTGCGTACCTCTCTCCAGCTGGAAGGGCGCCGGCTGTCTTTGTGCTTGACCAGCAGGTGGGCAGCGCGGATCTTTCCCTCTGGCACAGGAACAGCCTGGGATCTTGCGCCGGCGCCAGCGCTGTGATGGGTGGCCATGTAGTGCTTCAGCTTCTCGGTGTCGGTTCCCGCAGGCGGCTCCCAGCGTGAGACCTTTTCGGCGGCATTGAAGTAGTAGGGCAGGTTCTTGGAGTTGGAGTGTCGCACTTCCCAGCCGGGGGGGAGACCGGTGTCAGCCTGGTGAGGATTTGTATTAGTCGTCTGCTAAGAATGGTATTGTCTTGGTTGGTAAGCCGCCGCCGCCAGGCTCTGTGGGAGGCGCAGAGAAAGGTCAACAGCAGAGCATGCGACGGCCCGGAGACGAGGCTGCGCGATAATGGGTGAAGCTGTGCACAAAGGAATCGAGCGGGGTCGGGTGTCGAGGGTGCAGAGAGGGAAAAGGCTCTGCTCCGGATACGAGATGTATCACTGCTTACTCACCATTGTTGCGCGTGAGTTTGTTTACGGGAGAGACGAGAAGAAGCTGTTGCGATAGCTGCGGGGAACGAAACTTCAGCGGCGGGAGAAGTTGGTGCAAGGAACGAAGCTGTCGTGGAGTAAGGTACTGAAGTGTAAGAAACGTGGAGTTGGCAGAGTAAGGAAGAGGAAGAGCAGCACGACGATGGAGGCGAGGAGGGTGGGCGTCGAGGTACAAATGTACTCGGAAAGGCAAGGTATACCGGGTAACGTAAAGGTACCTACGGCAGCCGAACGGAGGAGACAATGCCAAGGTACTCCGTAAGGTAAGGGAAAGTAAGGTAAAGTAGGTAATAGAAGGTAAAGGCAAGGTGCAGCTGGGGAAGAGCTGGGGTTTTGGCGATGCACCTAGCCAACGCAACTGGACGGGGGGAGGTTCTTCAGCTTGGCTCGAATGGATTGGGTGAGAGAGAGGATGACGTGCGGCTGCTGGGGTAACCACCAACGAGGCCTTGCTTCTATGCTGGGTGCGAAGCTACTACGTAGGTAATAATGGGGGGCCACAGCGGGAAGGAGGGGGAGCAAAAAGGCGCAAAAAAGTCAAGGTACGGGCCACAGTGGTGGGTTACCTAAGCCACCAGGAATATCTTTCATGCCACTTGAACGATGGATATCCGCTGTCGACGAGCGTTAGTGGGGAGTGGGGGGAGGGCTACGGGGGACCTGGTGACCTCTGACAGGGAACCAGGCCGGATAGGGACCTACTACGTACCTTAGAATTGGACTCGTGGACGCCGGGACGGGAGCCATCAAAAAAGTTGTGTCCCTGAAAGGCGGGGAACAGGGCGCTGGAGGGGGAAGCTGATCATCCCCCCCAGCGCATCGAAACTTGTGCCCTTATTGGTTCCATTCTGTTCCAGTTCCTGTCGAATCACGTGTAGCTATGGTCCCGTGCTCGTCTTGGTCAGCTTACAGAGTTTCACCTACCAGACCTTCTCTCCCGACCTTGGACGGGAAACTCGTCACACGTCTTATTCGATGCAAGGGTTTCCCGTCCCAGACCTGTCGATCCATCTTATCAAGCCGCAGTCTATCAGGTTTTCCTCGAGGGAAAGGAGGAATGGAGAATTGAAGAGATGTCATTCGTGAGATCTGAAAGTCTCAGGTTAGGCTAAGCGACAGTTGAGCCTTAATTTTCGACCAGCAACGAGTGCCCCTCATCTGCATGTAGAGCTTCTAAATGAGGCCTCCCCCCCATTGCCTGAAATATCTTTGGCCTCATCGAAAAGTCCAGTGAGAAAAGTGATCAGAAATCTGTCCAAACCTGTTTTAGGTTGCTCCGTGATAGGCCAACGTTGGCTCATCCTCATCGCTGCCTGCTATCAGTAGGTCTCGCGGTACCATGTGTGTAGCGTTCTTCTCGTTGAGGCCCTGTAGATCTCGGCTTTGCTATACGTTGGGGTACAGATAGTTCAGACATAGACATGATAACCTCAGATAGGGTAGCAAATGACCAGAACGCAAGCTTCCTTGTGAAAGCTTGCCTTGGGGGAGCTGGTCTTTGGCCCATCTTGATTCGAAGTAGTTCAGTACACTCGTAATCGAGTCCCAGTCTCTCATCTCAAACACCAAATATCAAGTAGTTAGGTCATAGAAAGTTGGCATAGCCCTATTAGTCACAAGAGGTGGCGGCCTCACTTCACTGGTATTACATTACAGTCAGGTTGGCATCTCGGATGAACCATGGCAGTAACTCACCGAAACATGTCTCGGTGAACCAGTGACCACAGCTCACCGAAATTCCATTCCACTCTGATTCACCGCCGCGGCCCCACCTTGCGCCTCCCGCACTGCAAAAAGGAACGTGCGCCTTTCTCCATCAGGTTCCTTTCGATTATTTGCGCCGCACTTCGCTTTTCCGCCTTCTGCCTGAACCTCAACATTGCACACCGCTGCCCGACTTTCAATAACGCGCTCAACAACCCGATCTTGGTCTATAGACTTACGCGACGACGATACAGCGAAACTACCAAACTCCCTTTGATTACTCAACTCATTCCCCGACGCACAAGAATCGCTACGCGACCGACACCACGATGGCGACCCCCATGAGCACAAACTCCCAAGACGACGGCGCGAACAAGAAGCTTGAGCAGATTACCTTTCGCTTTTGCTCCGAATGCTCCAACATGCTCTACCCCAAGGAGGACGAAGAGACCCACCGCCTCCAATTCACCTGCCGAACCTGCCAGTTTACCGAGGAGGCTCAGTCCACCTGCGTCTTCCGCAACGTCATGAACAACGCCGCCGGTGAGACCGCCGGTGTCACACAGGATGTCGGTTCGGATCCTACTGTAGGTGATCCCCAGTCTGTTCTTGCCCCTGTTGTATGCATCGGCTGCGGCCACGCCATCCTTTGCAGCGGCTGCGGTAATCCGTCCGACGACTTCAACGTCTCAGCGGCCCCTACCCACCAGTACGACGGTCCCCAGAGCAAGAAGACGGAGATTACATGGGACGACCTGATGGACATGGCCGAAGACGAGGCCCTCGACGAGTACGACGAAGAAAAGGAATCGGTCACTTCCGACGAGATCAACCACGGGTTCGCGGGCATCGCACTCAACAATGAGCCTGACTCCGCCAACCGCAAAGTCTCGTGGCCTACCTTTCAGCTGGCTGTCAGCCAGTGAAGAGCGATTCCGCCACGCGTTACCACACAACATATTCCTGGATGATATTCCCTGGACTTGGCTCTTGCAATGCGATTTTGGCTTTCACCTTGGGCACGAGACCTCCCTCATGATCAGCTGGCTGACGCTGCATCTTTCCCGGATCTAGCTTCCACGATCAAACAAGGAATGCCCCGTCTGCAAGGCTGGCGAAGCCGTCTTCTTCCAGTCCCAGCAGCGAAGCGCCGAGACGGGCATGGTTAGTACAACCCGCGTCTTTCTTATTTCTCAGCATCCTTTCAGATGTTCCGAAGGCTAACGCGTTCTCGTGCAGAAACTGTTCTATGTCTGCTGCGATTGCGGTCACATCTTCCAGTAAAAGAGACGACCGTTTGAAGATACCCTAAGATTGTTCTAGAGGAGGTTATCATGCATTGTAAGGAGTATTCTGGCGTTTGAGCTCTCGATTGGGGGAAAAAGGCCATGGGGCGGCCACGGTTTTTGTCTTTAGATATCATACAGACCATTGAATTACGTTTACCTCGATGGGAATCACTATTCTGCGCCATTGCGCCATATCTTAAAGTGACCTTTGACTTGTGACTAGACTCATCTCGACTTTCTGAATGTTTTTGTATTTGATGGAGATTGGTATCGACTGCCAACCCTGGAAACGCCGGCTCATGCATTCGTATAATACACTTCCCCCGCTCTGACGACTCTTTTCTCCTATACTTTTACAAAGATCCTACACGTCTTTCTTGTTGTACCTGCTCCTCCCTCGTCCCATCACCGTTTCCTTTATGCGTGCATGGGCGCCATGGAAAGGATCTTGCTCCACTTCTTCCTCCTCAGCTCAGCACCAACGACGCCGTTGATGCGAGAGCCAACCGGGTCGCCGGCCTTGTTGATGAGAACGCAGGCGTTGTCGTCGAATCGAATTACACTACCGTCGGGGCGGAGAGTCTTTTGCTTGGTGCGGACAACGACGGCATGGCGCATGTCACCGCGCTTGACCTTGTTGGCGGCTGATGAGCCGGCCATGCCACCCTCGCTGGCACCTCTGTGCTTCTGAACCACGACGACGATTCTGTCACCTGCGATTGTATATGTGTTAGTCTCGGTATCGAATCGCGTGAGGTGAGGGGGGTTCGGAAGTGGGCGACAGGATCGTACCGATGCGGGCGAGCTTCTTCTGGCCGACAACCATGGCGCATTCGACCATGGCAGCACCTGAGTTGTCGATGCATTGCAGCACCGTCTGAGTGCGCGTTAGCGTGATGATTCAATGTTCGCGAGTCAAAGAAGATGACATACCTTTAACTGAATCATTTTGGCGGCGGGACCTCGTGGTAGGCTGTGGTATATCGAATCTCCCCTGGCTGGCCACTGGCTCTATGAAGCTATCTCGAAAAGGTGGGACTGCAAAGTTGAATTCCACGTCGGAACAACGGGCTGATGTAGATCCGGTAGCCCAGAATCGAGGTGGAGCTCAAGACCCACTTCAAGAGCTGCATGTTGTCCCGTTGCTGCGGGCAGGCCTCTGATAGCCAAAAGAGGTTAGCTACATATGCTTGAGCGCATCTCATTGGCTGACATAACCGGTCAAAACTTGGTCTGTGCGACTATTTTGACGTCTCAGTGCTCACTTGGGGCCACTTCAACGATAATTGCCTAGCCACTGTGTTTTGTAACTTTTGATTGGCCGTCAAGCCCCCCGGTAAGGCGCAATCCAATGTTTCCCTTCCTTTCTTGCTTCCCTCCCTCTTTCCCGTTCTGCGTCTCTGTCTGGCTGGCTGGTCTGTCTGCTCCCCTGGAAAGCTGGAAAGGAAGGAAGGAACCTGGAATCTAGAATTTGTTCCATTGAGACTTGCTGTCAATACCTTCCGAAAGTACGGAGTGCTCTGAGTCGGATCCGAACGAATTGAGACTGAGTTTGTGCAGGAGAGTAAGAGAGGGAAGGAACCACCCGAAGCAACCAACTTTCCACCCGGCAAGAGCGAATTAAAATTGGGACAAGACGGCGACTTCCATTGCTGTTTCCTGCTCATCTTGAGTTCAGGTCTCTTGACGTCCAGCCTCACGCACACACACACCTCACCTCACTACATCCCACATCCCACCTCCCACCTCAACCTAACCACATCCACTTATTTGTCTCATTTCCCTCCTCATTCTCATCTCTTTATCCGCTCCATCGTCCGTTGTCCGACGTCTTTGTTACCCACAGAGCCTCCCTTCCGGTACTTGTGGATGAAGCTATTTTGATTCCTACATTCATTCCTTGAGCATTCATCGACAGGAGGGTCCACGACTTGTTTGTTCTTCTTTCAGATCCTACCGTACCGAGTATGATCCACGACGGCCCTGCGCATTAATCTCCACAACCACCCGCCTGCCCTGACCAGCCTGTCCTCGTTGGCTTGTTTATGCCCCCTTTGGACTTTGGACCGGAAGACATGACGACACCCACCCTGAGCTGACCCTTCTCTCATCTTTTTGCGCCTTTTTGGACACAACAACCTTCTTCCCGGTCTCACCCACATCTGTTTCTGGTCCCTATCCTTAGCGGCCGACTTGCGACAATCGTGGCCCAGCTGTCACTCCCCCACATCATTTGCTGCGCTTGACCTTGGGCTGTCGAAGGGAGCCCGACCTCACATTTGGTCCTTCGTCCACTCCTTGCTCTGTGCGCTGACGCTGGTCCCTCGACGCTCGTTTAGCCTTCCCCGACCTCGCCTCGGGCTCGCTCCTTCCAACTTGCGCCGCCGACGACAACTGCGACGCCGTCAACGCTCATCCGTATCTCACGATGCCGCCCTCTGCTGCTGCGGCAAAGAAGCAGAAGAACAAGCAGACGCTGACATTGGCGCAACTGGCATCGTACGATGATTTCCTGACTGATGCCCTAGTCGATCATGTATGGGTTTCGGTTCCGCCGGGCAGCCATGCCTCGGACATTTGGGGGCTGAAGAAGCTGACACTTTGCAGGTCTTCTACTGGACTACGATTCCCAAGAACAGAAACTCCTATCATCCTTCGCGAGGTGTGCGGGAGGAGGACATTACCCAAATCATCCGCGACGAGCTCGCTGTCAGCAAAGACCTCGAATCCGCCGAGCGCAAGTTGCTAGCTACCGATGGCTTCCGCAAGTTCTTCGCCGCCCTCAAGACGGACAAATCCAAGGATGACTTCAAGCGTCATATGCGCCGCTATGTCCAGATTTACCTTCCCGACTGCCCATTTGAGGTGAACTCGACGAACCGCTACACAATTGTTTCGCACGAAGCCGCCATCACTGCCCGACGCTTTATACGGCGAAACGAGACGATCAAGTACTTGGCCGGAACGCAGGTCAACATTTCACCCGAGGAGGAGCGAGAAATGACGGCCCGGAAGAAGGACTTTAGCATCATTATTTCCGCCAGGAACAAATGCGCCAGCCTGTTCATGGGCCCTGCCCGATTTGCGAACCACGACTGCAGAGCCAATGCGAAGCTCATGACTACGTCTTCAGCCACGATTGAGATCATTGCGACGAGGAACATCGATGTTGGCGAAGAGATTACCGTCACATATGCCGAGAACTACTTCGGGGAGGACAACTGCGAATGTCTATGCAGAACATGCGAAGACAGATGTGCAAACGGTTGGGCACCGGCAGAAGGAGAAGTTGTGGTTAAGAAAAGCATCGAGGAGTCCGCTTTGGACGGATACTCTTTGCGGCGGAGGAGAAGGGACGATAGCGCCGGCCCGTCGTCTCGAACACCTTCTGTCACGCCAGACATCCGGCCGCGAGTGTCTAAATCACGGCTCAGGAGCGGGAAATCTGGCCGAGATTCTCTAGCAGTCGACTCACCAATGTCAGATGCTCTTTCACCAGAAAAGAAGCAGTCTTTCGATTCACTCGTCACACCGCCCATCACGCCATCCAAAAGACGAAAAATTTCGGCTACGCAAGCAGCCAAAGCCCGTCAGGAAGCTATTGTCACGTCAACAGAGAGCTCGGCCTCCGAGTCTGTGCGCAGCATGTCATTGACCAGTAGCGGAAACGAAGACGGGTCGGTGACGGACATTACTGAGCCGGAGAAAGACTCCCCGGAACCAGGCCAACGTCAGAAGCATTCGGAGCTTGTCAAGAAAGAGGAGTATGAGGAGACCACGGAGCAAGCACTGGCTAAGGCGGCGCCATACTCGTCGCAAAGAAGGGGCCAAAAGGAAATGCAAGACACCAGTCGAGCTGGATCTGTTGTTGTCTCCCGGTCAATCCCCATCTCGTCCTTGTGCAATCCTCCGTCACCGCCTTCTAAAACCTCGGGTTCAAACCCTCCAGAATGGCTATACCCGGCGAGCGTCCCTTCGTACAAGATCCAGGATCGTATGAGTATCGCAGCTGCTATGTGCAGCAGCGTGAGCACGAAGCCAGTGGCAATGTCACCAACAGGCGCATCAAAAAGCTCCAGCACGAGCAGTTTGAAGCTGACACAAAACGTTGCTAAATCCCTCTCAACGAAAGAGTCGCTCGGAAGCTCTCGTCGTGAGGCCGTGGTGAAAACGTCAAAGGTTGAGGCTCTTGCGTCAATAGAGCAAGACGAGTTGGGCGATCGCAGCTCCGTCACCGTGCTGACTGCAAAGGTCGAAGCACCGGTATCGACAGAAAATCCTGCGCCGATCACTGACAGTATCAAAGTCTGTGCAAAGGTTGCTGAGACGGTGGAGAGCGGTGGTGACCAGCCACCTCTGAAGAAGCGCAAGTATCAGCGGCGCACCTTTATCAAGGAGACCACACCACCCGCAAAGACCCGAACGCCCGGCGACTATACTCTAACGCCGCTGTTGCTATCAGAGCCGCAGACGGCATGGGTTCGCTGCATGAATTGCGAGACAGCATTTGTGCAGCAAAATGCGTACTACACCAAGAGTTCGTGCCCGCGCTGCGAACGCCACTCTAAGCTCTACGGTTACATTTGGCCGAAGACTGAGAGGGCCGGGCCTCAAGATAAGGAGCAGCGCATCTTGGACCACCGCCTTATCCACCGGTTCCTGGGGCGCGACGAGGAGGCGCGTATCCGGGGACGAAAGCGACCCGCAGCGAGCACATCGGAGACACTCGAAGATTGCGCGGGGAGTAGGCTTGGAAACAAGCGCCTCAGAGCCGCGGGTGAAGAATCCGACCAAGGCGAAGATACGAGCGGGTTGAGACGGAGTGGTCGAATGCGCAAGGCTAGCATCAAGGTGGCAGAGCCGTAGGGGAGGCGAGGCGCGAAGCAGCCAACCGGAGCGGTCCGGGACCCAGCCGGAGAGAAACTCTCCCCAGTCCGGGGCTCCAAAGGCTCCCACCGTGGCTTTTCCTTGAACGCAGAAACGAACGACGGGGATTTATAATTGGAACATGGGGAAACATGAGGTGGAAAAGGCGTATGTCTTGTGTTTCATTGCGACAGCACAATTTCTGTCTTGGGATTTTGGTCAGGTCTTTTTTTTTTTTTTTCTCTTTCTCCCCCAGGTTTTATTTTCCTGCTATGCATGCATAATGGCATGTACGCATGTGCGGTACATAGTAGATACCATAGCTCCTCGCCTTGCATACTACTGTCCGTCTGCAGGGTCGCAGACGATGCACAGGGGACTTTTCCATCCTCCCCCCCTTTCGATTCTGGCGTGGTGTTGAGAGACAACATTCCAGCCGACTGTCTTGGCTGGTAAGGTACTTTAGATAAGGAGGAATTGGATGCACACACACACACAGAGAGAGACACAGAACTATATACAAGGGACCTAAGGGGAATGTCCATTGAGCCGGAGAGGCGAAAGAAAGAATTGATGAGAGAGAGGGTAATCTACTTCTTCAAGACGAGGACATATTTCTCTACGTGCCGCCGCTTGCTGCTTTCTCAATTTTCCTTGAACTTTCTTGACTGTGTAAGGAAAGGTATTGTTTGTTTTTGTTCTCCCCCTTGCCTTTTCCCCAACCGTCGTCGGATTCGGACATTCAGCTTATCGAGCAGCCCTCAGCGCGTACCTCATGCGAGTTTGCTTACTTGCGTTGCTGCACATCTTTTGCTGATGGTTTCGGTCGGCGACCGAAAGCGACTTCTCTCACCAAAAGCAAAGACGTGGGATTCGACCTTGGATTTCGGTGGCATAAACACATATTCATACATACCTTTGAGCTACCTTGGGCACACCACTACCTTGTCCATTCATCTTCCTCCTCCTCGACAGATAAACGACGACTTACACCGACCGCTGCGACCATCACCTCAACCACACCTCAATCACACCTCTCAGAGCTCTTCTTCCCCGCCGCCTTGGAACAACCTGCATAAAAACTGTGTCGTCGCGAACGGTGCGTCGCTAGCAACCTGCGCTAAGGCAAGCAAACGCTATCCCAGGACCTAGGAAGCTTTGCCTTTTCCTTTCCCTGCTCATTCTGCCCTGCTTGTCATAAAGCTCGAGCACACCTCACTACCTATCCTTAGCTCGGGTCCTATCGCTTGCTCGCAGCTCACCACCGCTCACCACCCATCACTCACCGACTTATATCTTGGGCCCCTCACCTGCCTACTATTAAGTTTCCTCTCGGAACCGTTTCCCAAGAAACCGAGCCAAGGTTCTCCTATCTTTTGGATTTACATCCTTTTATCTTGGCACCCCTCGTCCCATCCAACCCTTCTTCGCACTTTATCACCAAGTGTATGTTAAAGGGGAGGGGCATCCGCTATTCAGCATGTCAACGGAAACGTTTACACAAAAGACCATGATGAGTGCCGGCCTCCCAGGGCCGCACAACTATCTCGACTACCAACACCAACAACAACATTACCTATACAACCCGGCACCAAGGCTCTCCGCCCTCGCCTCTCCTCACCTTTCCTCCCGGGGCCAGACTAAGCAAGCCAAAAGGCGGTCGCTGACGGCGGCCCGGCAACAACCACGACAACCGCAGCCACAGGCTTTGCATCCCCTGACAACACTGCTGGCCGTGATATTCGACTTCTTTCTGCGAGGCATCCTGGATCTCACGAGGCCGCCGAGGGAGCTCGTCAAGCTCACCGTCATGGGCATTTTCGACACGCTGTGCTGGGCATATCATGCACTGCCAATGCCGCTCGCGCTCGGTCTCCTCTACTATGGGTTCCAGAGCGTCCCGGACGCTCTGCACGGCGTTGAGGAGCTGCGGGTGGTTTACAGCACGAGACTGGGCGGCGACGCATTCACCGGGAACGCGTCCGGCGTGGAGGGTCTCTACGGGCTGGGCGAGATGGCTCTGGTGCGATGGGGTGATTTGGGGGTCTGGTCGGTAAGTTGCATCTTACACTCTTTTCGTTTTTGACATCGTTTTCCTCTATCCCTCCATCTGCTTGGATGATTGATGGTTTTGGTTATTCTTCATCTTTGCATCATTCTCCAAGATTGTGGGCGTTATACAAAACATCAAGAGTGTCGAGACTGATGTTTCCTTGGTTCAGGCGTTTTACTGTCTCGCTTTGATGACGGCAGCGTATGCGGTCATGGTCCTCTTGGAGATGCGCGACTACATCCGCGACACCTGGGCTCTCATTGTGGACGAGGCTCTCGAGGTCCAGGCGTTGCGGGCGGACGATTGCTAGTCGACGCCTCCGGAATTTCGGAAAGGGTGACTTAGTCCTGTTTTCGCCTCGCTTTTTCACGCTTCTTCCCCGTATTTGGGCCTTTCTGGACCCTTTTGGGGGGCAATCGGAATTCCATCCTGCCCTACGGTCGCGGGGTCGGTCTTCGGCGTTGGTTGCTAGTCGTTATTTTTGTCTTTTTATGTTCGCTGGGGGCGAGAGATGAAAATGTGTGAGAGTGAGAGAAACGGCGGTCGGACTTTTGGAGATCTTCGTTCCCCGAATCCTGGCTTTCACTCTCATTCATCATTCTCACTCTCACCTTCACTCTCTCGCTCTCATTGTCATCTCATTCAATGGGATCAGCAGGCGTCGACCGGTACAAAAGTTCAAACGGCCAAAAAGGGTATTTGTGCACAGGCGCTTTGGGCAAGAGTTCCGCATCTCTTGGCGCGGATTTCAGTGCTCCGTGTCTTCGGATGACGAAAAATGAGGAGTTTTGCTTTGGGTTTGGTCTTGGAAGGGAAGAAACGCAACGAGATTGCGGAGGGAACATCGGGATACAGTGAGACTGAACTTAGAAAGCGCCCGATGCAGAAACTGTCGCAGTCGCAGTCACAGTCGCATTCGCGGTCGGCTGGCATCGGTGGACGCCTCATGATGATGATATTACAATACCTAATAATGAACAAGACTGTTGTCTGTCCTGCACTCTCACTCTCCTACCCCATCCGTTGAGATGGCTGGAAGTCGGGTGTGGGCAGCATCAGATTTCGAGATGAACTCGATCTCAGCTCAACCATCCTTTCCCATCCTTCCAATTCGCTCCTCTGACTGATGCAAACCAACCACTCAGCTCCGAGTCCCGTTATCATGATTCCAGATCCCCCCGACTCGGCAATATAATTCGAGGTGCACTTTTGCTCTGTTGTTGGAGCACTCATTGGACACATTTCTTTGCCCTGCTGCAGCCAACAGGCCACCCACACGCCCAATCATTGGGCGCCACAACCATTCCCTGCTTTGCTCGCTGCATCTTCTCTCCATGTCTCTCGCTTCCTCTTCATCAGTTCACCAGTCTCGGTGTCTCGGCCACCCTCTTACATTGAAGCTCCGATCCCTTGTCTCCTTGCTGACGAGCTGCCTTTTCCCATTCCCCGCATTCCTGGACTAACCAGACACTCAAGATACCAACAGCAAACACGGACAGGGGTGGGCCGCAGTCAGCCTTTGCGGCAGAGACAGGATGGGGGTTACATGTTCGTTTCCTCTCTCTCACAGAACTCCGGCCGACTGAATCGGACCTCCACTCCACGGTCTGGGTTCCGCCCTACCACAAGCCACCCACCCTCTTCCCCCCGTGGCCCCCGTTCCAGCCGTCTCGAAACGGAGAACCATCTTTGGCGAATTGAGTCAACCACTCCAACTTTCTGGCATACTCTTTCTCGAATCTTTACCAATCAGAGGTCGCCCTGGCACAGACGATCAGGCTGGCTGGACTGCTGTTGGACCTTGGATGCCCGATTCTCCTGTTACTACCACGTGTCGTGCTGGGCAGCTGAGGCAGAAGTGCACGAATAGAGCAGAATTGAACCATTTTCCAGCCCTCCGTTAGCTAAAGTAGGCGGACCTACTTCGGAGAGCTCTTTCTCGGCCGTAAACGATCTACGTCCCATCATACTCGCCATACGTTCGGAGTTGCTGGGATGACCGTAGGGCCGGCCGCGACCGTTGGAGATTCTTATTATAAGGTCGCATGTCAGACCCAACTCTACCTGCCAACCAACTCCGGAGTTCGCGAGCCTTATCCTTCTATGCTGACGATGAGATTCCTTCTGGGACATGCCTGACCTTGCTTGAACCCCGCGATTCATGTTTGCATTCGGAACTTTTTATTCCTTACGCTGCCTTCCGGAAAGTCTCTGGACACTCTTCCTCTTTTGATCTTTCTACTTTCCCCTTTACACACGTAGTCCTACCCCGACATTCTTCATCCGCTGATTGCCGCGCGTGGGGTTATTGAACACCAAGGGAACGTGAAACAACAACAGCGCTTACCGTCTACGCCCGCGATCCGATCGACGACTAGCTCCCAAGGGGTTGATATCTTATCAGGAACAGCAAACAGAGGAGAAACTTTGGCTTGGACCTAAGTCGAAATGTTGAGAATGTTTTCCGGCATGAATGGGCTTGGGGGTTCGCTTTTGGTTGTCATTGTGCTCATGGCTCTGGTCTTTGCCGCATCCAGGTTCGACTTTGTAAGTGTTTCACTCTTGGGCGTGGTCAAGTGGTGCAGCAGCAGGACCACCACCACCACCACCACCACACCTTCGGATAGCAGCGGTCCTAATCGGCTTATACAGATCCTGACGTCAGGCAAGTCCAAAGATGGTGATTTGGAAGGGGAGGATGATTCGACTTACGCTTTCTACGCTTCCAAGAGGAGAAGGGCTTCCAGTAAGTTGTTGTCCATGTTGTCGACGTGCCATCCATTGACGACATCTAAAGGTGTTAAGCGAGTCACTTTCGACATCTAGCGACGGACTTACGCGTTGGACTGGCTTGCTTGGACGGCAGCATTTTGGAGTATCACCCAATTATGTTTGAAATTTGTAGGGTCTCATTTTTGGTACGAAGGATTGGGCGCACTGGGACGACAATGGAGGAGTTCTTGTTTACGGCAGCTCATCGCTCGCTATCAGCCTTTACACATCATCACAGCTTCAAGTTCTACCTGACACTACAACTTTTTCAACTATCAAGATGTGTTGCCTACTGCGAAAGTACGCAAGGCGCAAGAGGTCGCTAAGCCTAGCCGGTGCACCGTACTACACGATGTTGCGTGTACTGCCCCTTTCGTAAACAAACACCACACGCTAGGAACTCCGCCCTGGCTGTTTGTATGGCCATCTACCTAGTTGTAGGTTTTTGCGCTTCTCAGAAACCAAGGGTCATCGTACTATCCACAAAAGACCGTGCAAAACATGCCTCGTGCATCTTCAAAAGTATACGGATATCTGGTGGCTCAGATCAAGGTTGATCAAGAAAGGACCCCGTCAGTTGAGAGAATCAAATTGAAGCAACATTTAAAGAGCTTGAACATGATGAGAACTATGAGGCATGACTAAAAACTTTTGTCGCTAATCCCTGACGCTGTTGAAGTCTCCTATCCTTCGTGAACGAAAAGGTTGCGCTCTAGTTCACACCAATTCAAAGAACCACTAGCAGGGCCTTGTGAAGCCGAGGACGAGTCTCGACGGCTTGATACCAGCTCTTTACCTCAACACAATGCTTCACTGTGCTGTTCCAATCTCGGTCTGTATCTTGTTGCCTTCGATAGTGTCGATGCCTTGAGGGTTGTCTCTCGTATGAATCAGCGCATAGAAATCCGTGTCCAACGCCTCTTCGTCCGAAAAGCCATACAGCTTCCGGTGCGATTTGACGTCTAGGTGGTTCTGGCAATTCTCGCAACTCTCAACATTCCATCGACTGAGGACCGACTCAGTATCCAGAAGGATGTCTGGCTCACCGTTCTTACCCTTGGCCCATGTGGAGACTACGAAAGAACCGCGGATCCGAGCGCGGTTGATGCCAGTGGCCGTGATCTTGGGTCCTTCTCTTAGGTCTGGACCAGGGAGAATGGAATCGAACTCCGGCCTGGGATAATCGTAACCGAGATTGGCTGTGTTGGTGACGTCCTGTAATTGTTAGATACTTTTACTCGCGGTCTTGGCCGACGTCTTACATTGGATGTCAGCGGTCGGCTGTCCCCAGGTGCAAACTCTTCTTTGGTGAATGGTTCCAAAGGGGTGTCGAGGGTTAGACCCTTTGCGCCCTTGAGATCGGGGATGATATCCAACTGTTTGGACTTGTTGTGAATGTCCTGCCACTTCCAGAACATGTAATCTATGAAGCAGTGGTGGAAGAAGAAGACCGGGTCGAATGCCGCAGTGTCATTCTCGCCCATATCGCCGTTGGCGAACGGATACACGTTGAAGCTTCCTCCATTGGGGACGTCAAACCCGCCAATGGCCAAATGCATGGAGTTGTGTGGCCCCTCAAGGGACACTACGACAGACCCGAAACCGCCCTTCACCTCAGTCGTGTTCCAGTCCTGAGCCGAGGCCGTGTTCGAGAAGACAGTGTAGTTTGGGGCATTGAGGCACTTCTTGAAGCCATCTGCGATTCCTGCAGGAATCGTCTTACCTTCCCAGTTCTCAAATGTTTCCAAATTCAGCCAGCGCATGACGTTCCCGTTTAAGAGCGCAGTCGGTTGCCCGGGCGGCAGCTTGTTCACCTCGACATTGTGTTCCAAGGTCTTGGAGCTCAAGTCAGAGCTGACGAGTCCCGAGTAGGGGTATCGCACACTATCGTACCCTCTAAGTTTCGTGTAGCCGTTTGACTTGTCATTTCCTTCATTGTCCAGATCATGTACATCTTCCTGTAACTTATAGGAGAACAAAGGATTCGGAACAGATGTTCCATCTTTGAAGATGTAGTCCTTCCGAGTGAATATATCTGGCAACCCTTTCTTCACTGACGAACTCGACGTTTCGTTCCAGTAAGGAAGAGCGAGATCGCTACATCCTGGAGCACTGCGCAAAGCGTTCTCGAGTCGCAGGAGGTAGGCACGGTGCCACGTAGGAAACAGCACCGTCCGATGCTGGCAGTACATTGGTGCAGGAAGGCCATGATAGCCGGCGATAGTGAAATAAGAATTCTTGTCGTCTGGCTTTAGGCTGACGATGTGCTGAAATGCCTTGACGAGCGTGTCAAGCTCATCGTGACTGAGAGTGTCGATGTCTTTTCTGATGCGAAGCTTGGACATGGTCTCTTCCTGAGTGGAGGAAAGATGGTTTGATTGATTAGATTTTGAGTTCGTTTTGGGGTGAAGACTTGGATGCTGATATTGTTCCTCTACCCAGACTCATCATGAGAGGGGCCGAAGCAGTATTATGATTATTTACCGATCACGGATCCTATCAGCTTTTGCCCCCCTTAAGAGGACTTGCAACATCATATCGAACTCTTTTCGGAATTTTCTCATTAAATCAGATGTGCTCGTTATTGAATGACTACATCCTATAAGGTAACTCATGTATTGAGGATTATGATACATCATAACAATTGGTAGGTGGCGTCGACAGGGCGAATCGCGTTTAGATCCTTTGCAACCAATGAGCATAAGTTAATACTACATTGATATGTGCAGTTTCGAGGCCATCGGTTCAATCATACTTTACGAAGGCTAGGCTATCTGCATGTCTCAAAGAAAATGTGGTGTCGATGCAGTGCGGGCCGCGCCACAGTCTAGAAGATGAGGCTGGCTGAAAGCTGCACACATCGTTTTTGAGGCAGCTGAATCCCCGAATAAAGTAAAAGAGCATCAATACAACATCTTGAGAAGAGCGGTGAGCACTGAAGTTGCCTTGGCTCACACCTATTTGTCGTAAACTTGAGTTTGCAACGTCAGCACGACGCAGTTTACGCAGTCATTCCATGGTCGTGTGACTGGTTGGAACATCTAGCGCATTGGAGATAAAATTACCTTGACATCTGATGCAGGCTTGAAGGCAGTCGGTCGAGATCGTTCAGTACTTCATGACAACTGAAACCAAAGCGAGTTTCTCAGAAGTCACAATTGTTCTATGCGGTCGATCGAATGAGTAATACCTCATGCATTGTTCGATCATTATAGTCATAGACACCTCGAGTCAGCTTAGTCTATTGCGATGCGGAGGGATTGACTTATACCAAATACGAATGAGGTTCATTCAGAGTTTTGATCGGCCGAACCTATCAATTACCTGAACAGCCGAAGCTAGAGCTGATTGCTGCCCGAGAGGCATCCACAAGCAGTTGAGAGGATTTGGCAACCGACAGCCTTGGCGACAGTAGCTCTCATGTAAGTGTTCGGATAATCACCAGTCTAGAGTTGACAAACATAGGCTTCAACTTTCGCATCGTTCTAGCCCTCAGGAGTTATGGGATCTCTCTTACGCCGGCTTGGCACGTAGCATTCAATATAGTTGTTTACTTGATAGTCTGAATTCATCGAAAACTGGCCGTAGTCAGATTCACTCTGCTGTTTCATGTGATTAGATGTTAGTTCATCGGGACCGGACCAAGGGTCCTCGTTTCCATGAATGAGATAGTTTCAGTAGCATAGGAGAACTTCATCCTCTATCATACTAGGAGATTAGAGACAGCCAAGAGTAGATCTCATACACACAGACGACTGAAGAGCAAATCTATCGTGAAGGACATGACTTCTTTGGAAATTTGCTTTACTTTAATCGAAGACAATGAAGTGATTGGAGGTAGACTACCGTGGTCCCGATGACAATGACTGAATGACTATATTTAAGTAAGATTTATAGATCAGTCGATGAGTGGCCGGTGAAAAATATACTGATCGAAAAGCATCATCTACTCGTTAGTGAGTGTTTGTGATGATTGAGAATTGGTTGCCGTCGCTGTTCGTAGTGAAATTGGGGGCCTTTGTATGCTGTCGCCAACATGAGCTTAGTGAAAAACCATTCAACTTCGGAGTAGCCGACAATACGGTGGTGGATGATTTGGATCGCCAAGAGCCTTTGAATCGTGCTGACGCAGTGCCTGCGCCTGCGGCTGTGGCTGTGGTGTGTAGACAGGGTTGGGATTTAGTCTAGTCTAGTCTAGTCAGGGGCCTGACTAATACTAGCCTAGTCTAGTCAGGGGGTTGACTAATATTAGCCTAGTTTAGTCAGGGGGTTAACTAATACTAGCCTAGTTTAGTCTAGTCGACTAACTAGTCGACTAAATTAGTCATATATAATAAATAAAAAAAACCTTAAATACTTTAAATACTTTAATTAACTATTATAAAAATAATAATAAAAATAATAATAAGAGTAATAATAAGAGTAATAATAAGAGTAATAATAAGAATAATAATAAGAGTAATAATAAGAGTAATAATAAGAATAATAATAATAATAATAATAATAATAATAGTAATAATAGTAATAGTAGTAATAGTAATAATAGTAATAGTAGTAATAGTAATAATAGTAATAGTAGTAATAGTAATAATACTTATTTATATATTATGTATAATTATAGTTTATTTAGATTATTAAGTATTAAAAGACTTAAAACTAGTGACTAAAGGGGAATTAAACTCTAGACCTTAAGAAGTAATAAAGTAAAGACTTAAACTACTAAGCTAAATAACTATTATACTATATAGTAAAATCTTTAGGATATTACTTTTATATAGTTAAATAAGTAATAATAGGGGTAATAGTAAGAGTAATAATAGGGGTAATAATAAGAGTAATAGTAGAGGTAATAAAGAGTAATAGTAATAAGGATAATAATAAGAGTAATAATAAGGGTAATAAAGAGTAATAATAAAGAAAAAAGTAATAATATAAATAAAATAGTAAAATAAAGAAAATAGTAAAATAAAGAAAATAGTAAAATAAAGAAATAGTAAAAATATTAATAAA